TGTGTACTGATTCCTGTTCAACATGATTTTGAATGTGATTGCATGATTTTGAATGTGATTGCTTAATTCTGAACACAGCAACATCTCCAGTTATAAGAGGATGTGCACACTTATGCAACCACATTATTTTAGTTTTGTATGTTTGTCCCCCCCTCCAAAAGATTTCAGTTTGTTTTTCAATTGAGTTGTAAAATTTGTAGGCCACATTAAAGGTGTAAAAAGTTCTGAAATTATTTATCTTTGACTCATTCTTTTACATCACAGAAGCCTGACATTTTAACAGGGGCGTGTGGACTTTTTATATCCACTGTAAGTTCACTGCTTCCTCTGTGACTTCTCAGCAGCCTCTGTAAAATATCAAGAAAATGGGGACCTTAAGCCTGGGTTCACATACACTCACCATCCACTTTATTAGGTAGACCTTGCTAGTTGGACCCCCCCTTTTGCCTTTAGAACTGCCTTAATTCTTTGTGATATAGATTCAACAAGGTGTTGGAAACATTCCTCAGAGATTTTGGTCCATATTGACATAAGTTGCTGTTGCCTTTCTATTATCTCGAACCAGTCTGCCCATTCTCCTCTGACTTCTGACATCAACAAGGCATTTTCGTCCACACAACTGCTGCTCACCGGATATTTTCTCTTTTTCAGACCATTCTCTGTAAACCCTAGAGATGGCTGTGTGGGAAAATCCCAGTAGATCATCAGTTTTGAAATACTCAGACCAGTCTGTGTGGCACCAACAACCATGCCATGTTCAAAGTCACTTAATATCCCCTTTCTTCCCAATTGTGATGCTCAGTTTTAACTTCAGCAAGTCATCTTCATCACATCTAGATGCCTAAATGCATTGAGTTGCTGCCATGTGATTGGCTGATTTGCAATTTGTGTTACCAAGCAATTGAACAGGTGTACCTAATAAAGTGGCTCATGAGTGTATGTGTGGGGCTGGTTTGCAGCAAAATTTCAAGCCCGCCGTCCACTGTGACTTACTTCAGTGGTTCAAATGTGAGTCAGGTGCAAAGTATATGACAGAAACTGCACCTGAACCAGGCTGAAAATTGTATTGGACTCTTTTTGAAATCGCACTGTGGCCGGCCTGCACATATGTTAACCGGATGCATAGAAAAGCCTTTTGGTTCACATATCATGTGAACTAGATGCAGTTCACAAAGCAAGCACCCAAACAATCCTAATTCTTAGGGAACTCTGGGGTTTAGTGTGGGTATATTCCCACATGAAAGAGGCAGATATATTTAATATACCTATGCTACAAAAAAAAAGTATATGAAGTACAACCATAGACAATAAGAATCCTCCTTCTTGGTTGATCTGGAAGATGGCAAAAAAAACACGTATAAAGTGCAGTCCAGTGGGGTTTAACAGTAAAAATATTTCTTCATACTTCTTAAATGTAGCTAGCTGATTTTCTGAATCTACATTTTACCTGTGTAAAACTGCAAATCTATATAAATAAATAAATGTATATATATATATATATATATATATATATAGCACTTCTAAAAACAAATCCAACCCTTTTTCAGCAAATGTTTTAATCAACTTCATAACCAGTTCATGTGGAAAACTACCACACAGCTCTTAAAATAAAGACATTTTCACATATTGAGATACCTCATTTTTTACACTTGTTAGTAATGCCCTTATGTCATTTTGTGGTCAAATCACATGAATCATTTCGTTCATCTGTAGTCATCAGCATCTGTAGTTTCAATTTTGTAATTATTTTCACTTTTTCTGAGGTTACCTCAATATAGTACAAAGTTACTTTTTCTATTTTAGGTGCCAAAGGGGTTGATTTCCTAAAACTGGAGAGTGCAAAAACTGGTTCAGCTGAGAATGGTAGCCAATCAGCTTCTAACTTCAGCTTGTTCAGTTAAGCTTTGACCAAAAAAAAAACTGAAAGCTGATTCTATGCAGAGCTGCACCAGATTTTGCACTCCCCAGCTTTAGTAAATCAACCCCAAAGTGTAGTTATAAAATCATTCAAAACTGGGAAAATGGAAAAACCTTTTGGAAATCATATGGAAACGTTTACAGCTGACTGGTCCTCGGTTCACATATGTGCAGGGGGGGTTTGTAGTATGATTTGTAAAAGAGTCTGGTGCGATTTCATTCAGCGGTCAGATGCAATTCCAATGCGAACTGTTAAAGTATATGACATTGGAAATTGCACCTGAACTGGACTGAAAAGAGCACAGGACTCTTTTACAAATCCTAAGAAAGGGCTTCTGGTTCACATGTCATGCAAATCAGATGTGGTTCAAAACTCATCCAATTCGAATATATGTTGAACCATTTCTCAGAGATCACTAATAGATAAAACTAACTGTGCCATAAAATCTACAATCTATATTTTTTAGTGGAATTTTATTAACCGTGCACAGCCATCCAGAGCAGTGTTCCCGAGCCGACTTGGAGGAGGACTGTTAGTAAACAAAGCAGCCCTCCTCCAGTGGTGTATTTAGGTTTCATGCTGCCCTAGGCAACACAGAAATCGGCTTCCCTCCCCATGGAGAGAGACCCTGACACTGACCAGCAACACCCCAGCACCACCCCCCCACACCCAAGAGAGCCCTCCACTACCACCACCCCCCATACACTGACAACCCCCCACCACCCCAGCGAGAGGGAAGACAATGTCAGAGCTCCAGACATCCCCAGGAACAAGAGTCAGGCTCTGCATACACCATCAAGCAGCACGCAGCCTCTCTCAGATCCCACCTGCTCCCCATGCAACGTGTGTTCCTTCTTCCACCTCTTATTTTGGGGGGCAGCACTGCCCCCTGATAAATGCTGCTGCCCCCCTGAAAAATGCCACCCTAGGCAAATGCCTTGTTTGCCTTGTGGTAACTACACCCCTGTCCTCCTCCCCGTCGGAGACCCTTGGTAATAACTGGGCGCGTCGGGCAACCAATGGCCAGGACTCAGTGATTTACAGCTGCGGCCGCAAATGGCAAGCCGTGCATGCACCCCCCCCAACCTGGAAACACAAAATCAAGCATATCGCCCCCATGCCACCCTGTAGCAGTATTTTTGCTATAGGGTGGTTGGGAAGAGGTTAAGAGACAATCCTTTAAGAGATACTTGAAAAATGCTCGTAAGTACAAATAGCAAAATGAAGATACAGGCAATCTGGTATGAAATGTAATGTATCATCCTGATAATAAAGTATAATATTTTACTGTAAAAGCACGCATATGTCATTTGTTTTACTTAAGAACTTCAGACAAGATGAAACATTCACTTCCCCATAGCTACAGAATATTTTGTACACAGACTGTAGTTTGCCATGAACAATTTAAGTTAAGTGGTGCTAAAGGTTAATCAAACCAATGTAATGGCCAATAAGGCATTTTATAAGTTTAATAACCTTTTAGTGGTTCATTTATTTTAGAAAATGAAATATGTATGGTTATATATTTGTTTATTTTGTAGGCAGTTAATTTTTCATTGCTCATTGTGTTTCTTACTTTGAATAACTTGTATCATAACATGTGACATACTGTATATACCTTTATTAAAAAAAGACACCTCAGTTTAAAATAACAGAGAAATGAGTTAAAACAATAGATATAGTGTACAGTATATAATTGCTACATAAGTCATTGCAGCAGCCAGCCGTAATTTTCTATTCCAGCCAGAAACTCAGGTGTTACTTCCTTGTAATATACCAATCATGAAAACACTGGGGATGTTCTGTATACTGTCTTTGTACGGAACTCCACCACAAATGCAATTTTCTGCTCATGCTATTGGCTCACTATGTTTCCAGTCTGGCTATGTAAAGCAGACAAGCAGCTACTGTACGTGCCAGATTCTTTTTTTGTACCTCCTGTCCCTCCCTCCTCATTATCCCTGCAGCAGATGTAGTTCAGTTATTTGTCTGAACAGTATAGTTGATCCGGAATTTCAAACTGAGACTGAATTTCATAGATTCTGATGACTAAATTGGAATCTGAATTTCAGTGTTATTTTTGATGGTTTAGATTTCCAAACAGCTTCAGGAAGCAAAGGACCTAAGCAGGGGTGGACTGACAACGCATGGGGCCCCCGGGCAATAGGGGATCATGGAGCCCCTGTGTTCTTGCCCAAACTCAAAAAAGTCTATGAAAAAGGTACCAGGGGCATCTCATGGGGCCCCCTACTGACCCCAGGCCCTTGGGCAGTGCCTGAGTTTCCAAATGGTCAGTCCACCCCTGGACCTAAGGCTTCTTAAAAGTTTTTTTTTAACATCTTCTTGTGCTGCTGCCTGAGCACTGTTAAAAGAAAAGCTCACCGTTTGTAACATGTTACTTGTTACACACAGATTCAGGGTGTAATTGTTTGTAACATGTTACATGTTATGGTCAGACTGGCCCCCCACACCCCCTGCTCCCCGCTTTGACAGTTAGCTGGGGTCCTGTGTCCTGTCACCACCCCCCCCCCCCCCCCCCAGCTATGTGTAAAATTTTAAAAAGACACTGCCCCCCGGCTGCATCACTCATTCACACTCTGTGAATGAGAGACTACAGTTTCCGTTAGCCTTAGCGGTTGTCAGCTTGTAGCCCTCAATGAACTACCACAGCGCTGTGGACCACCATGATAGTTCATTGATTCTTCCTGTCAGTATATCTGCTTGCTCGTACATCCCGTACTGGCAAGAAGATATACTGACAGATCTGCAGGAGACCTGCATGGCACCAGCATTCTGCTGATCGCTGGTTAAATGCTTTCCAGGCTCCTGCAGACAAAAATAAAAATAAACCTTACCTGTAAAAAAATGTGTATTTATTATTTTTACTAAAAGGTGAACTTATCCTTTACCTTGAATGCCAGTGCTATCAAATCCCAACCTGTTATCTTAGTATTCCTGGTAGAACTTTTCAAGTTCAAGCTTGGACTGTTTTTTGGCGCTCATCAAGGCACGGTTGCTAGAAGCTTCTTCAACAATTTAGCATTTTCTGCTCTGTAATATCAGAGATTCACTTTTTTTTTATTAAATGATTGACCAAGCCACAACTACTAGTCAATCTTTTCACAAGTTCATTTATCTCTACTGTAAGGTACAAGGCACCAGGGGTGGACTGACAACTCATGGGGCCCCCAGGCAATAGGGGATCATGGGGCCCCTGTGTCCTTGCCCAAACTCAAAAAAGCCTATGAAAAAGGTACCAGGGGCATCTCATGGGGCCCCCTACTGACCCTGGGCCCTTGGGCAGTGCCCGAGTTTCCAAATGGTCAGTCTGCCCCTGCAAGGAACCCTTATTGGACTGTTTGTTTCACCCTGTGAGGCTTGTAGTTATATTGTTTTTGTATTTTTATCTGTAAAATGGGGGGAAAAGATTATTAATAAAATCTGAAAAAAAGTATGTCGTAATGAAGCTTTGCATGTAGTCTGACTGTCAAAATTCTCCAATGTTTTCCTTGATGATCATGGCGTAGACTTACCTACATACATTGGGCATCGTGATGAATAAGTCAATCACCACCATTAACAACATTCATAGGCCAGTGGTACCCTACACTCTCCTCATGTTGCCACCACCACTCCCTAAGCTTTCCTGCTGAAACATGTTTAATACTGTGGGGCAAGATGTACTAAAACTGGAGCATTCAAAATCTGGTGTGCATGGTAGCCAATCAACTTCTAACTTCAGCTTGTTCAATTAAGCTTTGGCAATAAAACCTGAAAGCTGATTGGTTTCTATGCAGAGCTCCACCCGATTTGCATGTTCTAACTTTAGTATATCTCCCCCAATGAGTATGAGAGGCTAAGCCACATAACACATTATAGACCTGAGCTATACCACACTTTATTTAGCCTGCTGTTTACATAATGCTATTTTACCACTACTAATATTATGATGATAGTGTTGGTGTTATTGTATTGTCCCTTATGATAAAATCAAAGGCATTCTCAATAAGCAGTGTACCTCTGTAATTAAAGGCAGATGACTATCAAGCCATTTTTGCTATATAATCCACATGGCTGCCATAATGGCATCATCAACAATAAGAGGCTCATTTGCTTCCTTTCCTAACTGTGACAGAAGCCTAAAATAGCTAATGCAAAAGTAAGCCGAGATAAAGTATTTAAAATCCAAGACAAAAAATGATTTCCTGCCAAAAACTGCAGACTGCACAAATCCAAAAACTATGGAAAAGGTTAACCCTGCATTCAGCATAGTTTAAGTTTCAAATATATAATTATTTTCATACATCTGCATCTTTCACATGTCTACTCATCCTCACCATACTCTACTCAATTTATTCAACTATATTGCGCTCAGATAAAAAGAAAAACCTTAGATGACCAGAGTTTCTTTTGAAATTACTTTTTTCATGTGATAAGCTACTCCCTCAAAATGACAGCAAAGGTGTATATTAATTATCATTTTTTAAATTGACCGCACAGAAGACTGTTTCTATATGTTAAATATGCTTTTTTTTGCATAATTAAAAAATTCCTGGAGAAATATACTTTTAATTTCAAACTAAAAAGCAATATACTGTATACATATGTGGACCACTATGCTCATTATATCTTTTTTGTGAAAAAAAAAAAAAAAAAAATTAACACAAGCAAAATTTGTTGATGAACAAACAGTAAATGTTAAATATATGTTAAAATTAGAGATGAGCGAAGAAATGAAAAATTCGATTCGACTGATTCGGCGAATTCGTGGACAATATTCGATTCGAGTCGAATAAATTCGCTGTGAATTTAACTTAAAAAAGGGTGTTTCTAGGCTTCAGAGAGACTTAATATTAGTGCAGAACACTGTACCTTTAATTTAAATGCCCTTGGAGTCTGCTGGGGAAGAGAAATAATACTGTCACTCAGTATGACATGCAGATGAGTGCCGTCGATCTTAGAATCACCGCACACTTCACTCATTTGGCCAGTCACGGGGCCAAAACCAGTGTTTGGAGCCACAGTGTGGCGGTGGAGGCAGCAGCAATGGGAGGCCATACAGCAACCTATGACAAAATGGAAACCAGCAGGAGTGTGAGGAGACCTGAAAGTGGCACATGGCAGAGTGGGAGCAATGGGAGGCGGTACAAGGACCCATGTCACACTGTGGACCCAGCAGCAGCGTGACCAGGCGGTACGGGGGCCCATGGCAGATTACAGGCCTGGCAGCAGCAATGGGAGGCCCGTAATCTGCCAGCACCCTATGACAAAAAATGAACACACCAGCAGTGTGTGAGGAGAACCTGAAAGTGGCACATGGCAGAGTGTGGCGATGGAGACAGCAGCAATGGGAGGCCGTACAGGGACCCATGAGAGACTCTGTGGACCTGGCAGCAGCATGAGGAGGCGGTATAGGGGCCCATGGCAGATTAGGGGCCTGGCAGCAGCTATAGGAGGCCCGTAATCTGCCAGCACCCTATGACAAAAAATTGAACACACCAGCAGTGTGTGAGGAGAACCTGAAAGTGGCACATGGCAGAGTGTGGCGATGGAGACACAGCAGCAATGGGAGGCCGTACAGGGACCCATGAGAGACTCTGGACCTGGCATCAGCATGAGGAGGCGGTGTGGTAGGGGCCCATGGCAGATAGGGGCCTCGGCAGCAGCTATAGGAGGCCCGTAATCTGCCAGCACCCTATGACAAAAAATTGAACACACCAGCAGTGTGTGGGAGACCTGAAAAAGGCCATGGCATGAGAGACTCTGGACCTGGCAGCAGCATGAGGAGGCGGTTATATAGGGGCCCCATGGCAGATTTGGGGGCCTGGCAGCAGCTATGGGAGGCCCATAATCTGCCAGCACCCTATGTCAAAAAATTCAACACACCAAGCAGTGTGAAGAGACCTGAATGTGGCACATGCAGGGCGAGTGTGGCGATGGGGACAGCACAATGGGAGCCGTACAGGGACCCATGACAGACTCTGGACTTGGCAGCAGCATGAGGAGGCGGTATAAGGGGCCCATGGCAGATTAGGGGCCTGCAGCAGCTATTGGAGCCCGTAATCTGCCAGCACCCTAATGTCAAAAAAAATTAAACACAGCCAGCAGTGTGAGGAAACCTGAACGTGGCACATGGCAGACTGTGGACCTGGCAGCACATGAGGAGGCGGTATATGGGCCCATGGCAGCATGAGGCGGTATGGGCCTGGCAGCAGCTATGCAGCAATGGAGGCCCGTAATCTCCAGCACCCTATGTCAAAAAATTGAACACACCAGCTGACAGTGTGTGAGGAGACCTCTGAAAGCGTGGCACATGGCAAGTGTGGCGATGGGAGACAGCAGCAATGGAGGCCGTACAGGGACCCATGAGAGACTCTGGACCTGGCAGCAGCATGAGGAGGAGGCGGTATAAAGGGGCCCCAATGGCAGATTAGGGGCCTGGCAGCAGCTATAGGAGGCCCGTAATCTGCCAGCACCCTATGTCAAAAAATTGACACAATCTCCAGCAGAGTGTGAGGAAGTACCTGAAAAGTGGCACATGGCAGAGTGTGGCGATGGAGACAGCACAATGGGATGCCCCGTACAGGACCCATGAGAGACTCTGGACTTGGCAGCAGCAATGAATGGGAGGCGTAGCCATATAGGGGGCCCATGGCAGATTAGGGGCCTGGCAGCAGCTTTAGGAGGCCCGTAATCTGCCAGCACCCTATGTCAAAAAATTCTACACACACCACCTGTGTGATGAAGACCTTAAAGTGGCACATGCAGAGTGTGGCGATGGAGACAGCAGCAATGGGAGGCCGTACAGGGACCCATGACACACCTCTGGACTTGGCAGCAGGCATGAGGAGGCGTATAGGGGCCCATGGCAGATTAGGGCCTGGCAGCAGCTATGTGGGCCCGTAATCTGCCAGCACCCTATGTCAAAAAATGGAAACACACCAGCAGTGTGTGAGGAGACCTGAAAGTGGCACATGGCAGAGTGTGGCGATGGAGACAGCAGCAATGGGGAGGCCGTACAGGACCCATGACATCGACTCTGGACCCTGGCAGCAGCATGAATGGAGGCGGTATATAGGGCCCATGGCAGATTAGGCAGCCTGGCAGCAGCTATTGAGGCCGTAATCTGCCAGCACCCTATGTCAAAAAATTAACACACCAGCAGTGAGTGAGAGAACCTGAAAGTGGCACATGGCATGAGAGACAGGTGGACCTGGCAGCAGCATGATGAGAGGCGGTATAAGGGGCCCATGGCTGATTAGGGGCCTGGCAGCAGCTATGGAGGCCCGTAATCTGCCAGCACCCTAATGTCAAAAAATTTGAAACACACCAGCAGTGTGTGAGGACAGCAATTGCACCTGAAAGATCGGCACAGGGAGCAGAGTGTGCGAGCTGGAAACAGCGTGGCCAATGGAGGCCGTACAGGGACCCCTGAGAGACTCTGGACCTGGCAGCAGCATGAGGAGGCGGTAACAGCGGAAAGACCCTAGTGGGCCTATGGCAGATAGGGGCTGGCATGCAGCTATAGGGACCTGGCCCGCTAATCTGCCAGCAAGCGCCTCCCCTATGTCAAAAATGTATACACTACACCAGCAGTGTGATGGACACCTGAAAGTGGAGCACATGGCAGAGTGTGGCGATGGAGACACGCAGCAAAGAGGCCGTACAGGGACCCATAAACTCCTGGACAACGGGCACAGCAGCAAGGAGGATGAGGTATATAGGGGCCCATGGCAGATTAGGGGCCTGGCAGCAGCTATGGGATGGCCCGTAATCTGCCAGCACCCTAAAAAGCAGCGAAAATCGTCAAAAAAAATTGAAAAACACCAGCCATGTCCAACGTGAAGAGAGCAGCTGAAAGTGGCACATGGCAGAGTGTGGCGATGGAGACAGCAGCAATGGGAGGCCGTACAGGGACCCATGACACACCTCTGGCAACTTGCAAGCAGCACATGAGGAGGCGGTGGATACGGTGCCTTTGTGGTAAGGGGCCCATGGCAGACATAGGGGCCCGGCAGCACTAAGTTGAGGCACCGTAATCTGCCAGCACCCCCTATGTCAAAAAATTTAACACACCAGCATGTGAGGAAGACCCTGAAAAGTGGCACATGGCAGCTGAGAGTGTGGGCGATGGCAAGACAGCCAGCAATGGGAGGCCGTACAGGGAACCCATGACAGACTCTGGACCTGGCCAGCAGCAAGAGGAGGGTGGTATAATAAGGGGCCCATGGCAGAATTAGGGGCCTGGCAGCAGCTATGGGAGTAGCCCGTAATCTGCCATGCACCCTTATGACAAAAAATTTAACAAAAATTGAACACAAGCAGCGTGTGTCGATGGAGACTGGAAGTGATGGAGACCGTGACAGTGGCACCCATGAGAGACTCTGGACCTGGCACAGCAGCATGAGGAGGCGGTATAGGGGCCCATGGCAGATTAGGGGCCCTGGCAGCAGCTATGGGAGGCCCGTAATCTGCCCAGCACCCTATGTCAAAAAAAATTGAAACAGGCGCCCACCAGCAGTGTGTGAGGAGACCTGAAAGTGGCACATGGCAGAGATTGTGGCGATGGAAGGGACAGCAGCAATGGAGGCCGTACAGGGACCCATGAGAGACTCTGGAACCTGGCAGCAGCATGAGGAGGCGGTAGAATATAGGGGCCTATGGCAGCCGAAGTATTAAGGGGCCTGGCAGCAGCTATGTGGCCCCGAAACTGCCTGCACCCTAATGAAAAATTTTTAACAAACAACCAGCAGTGTTGTGAAGAAACCTGAAAGTGGGCACATGGCATAGATAGACTGTGAGACGAGCAGAAGGCAGCAGTGAGGACTGTGGACCTGGCAGCAGCATTGGCGGGGCCGCATGGCTGATTAGGGTGGCAGTGTGGGCGATGGGAGGCCGTAATTGGCAACCCTAGACAGCAGCAGTGTTTGAGGAGAGGCCGTACAGAGTGTGGACCGATGGAGAAGCCTCAATTGACAGGGACCCATGACCTCCCTGGACCTGGCAAAGCAGCATGAGGAGGCGGTTGATATAGGGGCCTATGGCAGATTAGTGGGCCTGACAAGGGACAGCTAGTAGATAGGAGGCCCGTATCTGCCAGCACCCCTATGTCAAAAAATTCAGACACACCAGCAGTGCTCCCTGTGAGGAGACCTGAAAGTGGCACATGGCAGAGTGTGGGGATGGAGACAGCAGCAATGGGAGGCGTACAGGGGACCCATGAGAGACTCTGGACCTGGCAGCAGACATGAGGAGGCGGGGTAACTATAGGGCCCATGGCAGATTAGGGCCTGGCAGCAGCTATGGGATGGGCGGCCCGTAATCTGCCTGCACCCTATGGTCAAAAAAATAGACACGGGAACACAGCAGTGTTGAGGAGACCTGAAAGTGGCACATGGCAGAGTCTGTGGCGGATGGAGACAGCAGCAAATGGGAGGCCGTACAGGGACCCATGAGAGACTCTGGACCTGCAGCAGCATGAGGAGGAGGCAGAAGGTATATAGGGGCCTATGTATATTGCAGATTAGGGGCCTGGCAGCAGTTGCTATAGAGGCCCGTAATCTGCCAGCAACCTATGTCAAAAAATTCAACACACCAGCATTTTGTGTGAGGGACCTGTAAAGTCGTGACACATGGCCAGAGAGGGCGATAGAGACAAGCAGCAATGGGAGTGGCCGTACAGTGGACCCATGACAGACTCTGGACCTGTTCTAGCACACATGAGGAGGCGGTAGCCCCATAGTGGGTCCAAGGCAGATTAGGTGCCTGGCAGCATCTGATGGGAGTGCCCGTAATCCAAGCCAGCACCCTAATGTCAAAAATTCAAACACACCTGTCAGTGTGAGGAGACCTGACCTGTTTGTTGGCACATGGCAAGAGTGTGGTGATGGATGACAGAGAGCTGATGTTCGAGGAGGCCTGTACAGGTGACCCATGAGAGACTCTGGACCTGGCAGCAGCAGCAGGAGCGGTATATAGGGGCCCCATGGCAGATTAGGGGCCTAGGCAGCAGCTATTTCAGGAGGCCCTAATCTGCCAGCAACCCTATGTCAAAAAATTCAATTCAACACTCAGCAGTGGCTGTGTAGAGGAGACCTGAAAGCGAGGGCACATGGCAGGAGTGTCGGTGGCAATGGAGACAACCCACCGAACTGTTTTTGCTCGCTGCCAAGCTGCCACTCGACCTCTTCTCCTGATGATGCGAAGCTAATAGCCTGATGACGACAGATGCTGCCAAGTGCGATCAGCCTCAATCATCAGCTCAATTAGGGTCTCCGCCTCACTATCTAGTCTCCCCTCCGGCTTGCGTGTGGTGTCAGAGAGACAGACTGTGTCCTTGTAACCAGGCTACCGAGATACCACTCTCCTCGTCTCAGTACTACTTCTTTCGCCTGGCTGCTGAGTAAGAGGCGGATGTCTCCCCCCACTGAGTAAAATTCCTGACCGACCCTCTGATAGCTCTATCCTCACTGTGAACTGGATGACACCCGGGAGAGCACACTAGCCTCTGCTGCGAATAGTGCTGCCATCCGACCCCTTCCTTGCTGTACTCGTAGACATCTGCTCGCTCCAAAAACATTGACCTCCTCTGCCACGTACTCCTCTGCATGTTGTTCTGACACATACTCTTTTAAATAAACGATTCTGTGTCCGCTGAGTAAACAATTCTGTTTGTCCCTGAGTAACGTTTCTGTGGCCCTAAGTAACAATTTCTGTGGCCCTCAGTAACAATTCTGTCCTGTCCCTGAGTAACAATTCTGTGTCTGTCCTGAGTAACAATTCAGTGTCCCTCAGTAACAATTCTGTGTCCCTCAGTAAAAATTCTGTGTCCCTTCAGTAACAATTTCTGTGTCCTGTGCTAGTAACCATTCTGTGGCCCATAAGTAACAGTTCTGTGGCCCTCCAGTAACAGTTCTGATGTCCCTGAGTAACGATTCCTGTGTCTGTGCGAGTAACAATTCTGTGGCCCTAAGTAACAGTTCTGTGGCCCTCAGTAACAATTCTGTGGCCCTAAGTAATGGTTCTGTGGACCTCAGTAACAATTCTGTGTCCCTCGTTGTAACAAATTCTGTGGTCTGTGCGAGTAACAATTCTGTGGCCCTAAGTAACAGTTCTGTGGCCCTCAGTAACAATTCTGTAGTCTGTGCGAGTAACAATTCTGTGTCTGTGCGAGTTAACAATTCTGTGGCCCTAAGTAACAGTTCTCTGTGGCCTCTCAGTAACAATTCTGTGTCTGTGCAAGTAACAATTCTGTGTCTGTGCGAGTAACATTTCTGTGGCCCTCAGTAACTGTTCTGTGGCCCTCAGTAACCAGTGTCTGTGTCCCTGAGTATAACAATTCTGTGGTCTGTGCGAGATAGTACAATTCTGTGGCCCCTAAAGTAACAGTTCTGTGTACCCTCATGTACAATTCTGTGTCCCTGATTAACGTTTCTGTGGCCCCAAGTAACGGTTCTGTGGCCCTCAGTAACAATTATGTGTGTCCCTGATTAACGTTTTCTGTGGCCCTAAGTAACGGTTCTGTGGCCCTCAGTAACAATACTAGTGTCCCTGAGTAACAATATCTGTGTCTGTGCGAGTAACAATTCTGTGGCCCTAAGTAACAGTCTTCTGGTGGCCCTCAGTAACAATTCTGTGTCTGTGCGAGTAACAATTCTGTGTCTGTGCGAGTAACAATTCTGTGGCCCCTATAGTAACGGTCTGTGGCCTCGTAATGTGGCCCTCAGTAACAATCTCTGTGTTCCCTGTGTAACAATTCTGAGTCTGTGCAAGTAACAATATCTGTGGCCCTAAGTAACAGTTCTGTGGCCCTCAGTAACAATTCTGTGTCTGTGCGAGTAACATTCTTGAGTCTGTGCGCAGTAACAATTCTGTGGCCCTAAGTAACAGTTCTGTGGCCCACATAACAGTTTCTGTGTCCCCTGAGTAACAATTGTTCTGTGTCTGTGCGTAACAGTAACAATTCTGTGGCCCTAAGTAACAGTTTGTGTAACATTCAGTGCCTCAGTAACAATTCTGTGTCCCTGATTAACGTTTCTGTGGCCCCAAGTAACGGGTTCTGTGGCCCTCAGTAAACAATTCTGTGTCCCTGATTAACGTTTCTGTGGCCCCAAGTAACGGTTCTGTGGCCCTCAGTAACAATTATGTGTCCCTGATTAACGTTTATGTGGCCCTAAGTAACGGTTCTGTGGCCCTCAGTAACAATTTTTGTGTCCCTGAGTAACAATTCTGTGTCTGTGCGTGAGTAACAATTCTGTGGCCCTAAAGTAACAGTTCTGTGGCCCCAGTAACAATTCTGTGTCTGTGCGAGTAACAATTCTGTGTCTGTGTGCGAGTAACAATTCTGTGGCCCAAAGTAACAAGTTCTGTGGCCCTCAGTAACAATTCTGTGTCCCTGAGTAACAATTCTGTGTCTGTGCGAGTAAACCAATTCTGTGGCCCCCTAACGTAACAGCTTTCTGTGTCCCTGTGTAACAATTCTGTGTCTGTGCGAGTAACAATTCTGTGGCCCTAAGTAACAGTTCTGTGGCCCTCAGTAACAATTCTGTGTCCCTGAGTAACAATTCTGTGTCTGTGCGAGTAACAATTCTGTGGCCCTAAGTAACAGTCTGTGGCCCTCAGTAACAATTCTGTGTCCCTGAGTAACAATTTTGTGTCTGTGCGAGTAACAATTCTGTGGCCCTAAGTAACAGTTCTGTGGCCCTCAGTAACAATTCTGTGTCTGTGCGAGTAACAATTCTGTGTCTGTGCGAGTAACAATTCTGTGGCCCTAAGTAACAGTTCTGTGGCCCTCAGTAACAATTCTGTGTCTGTGCGAGTAACAATTCTGTGTCTGTGCGAGTAACAATTCTGTGGCCCTAAGTAACAGTTCTGTGGCCCTCAGTAACAATTCTGTGTCTTTGCGAGTAACAATTCTGGCCCTAAGTAACAGTTCTGTGGCCCTCAGTAACAATTCTGTGTCTGTGCGAGTAACAATTCTGTGTCAGTGCGAGTAACAATTCTGTGGCCCTAAGTAACGGTTCTGTGGCCCTCAGTAACAATTCTGTGTCCCTGTGTAACAATTCTGTGTCTGTGCGAGTAACAATTCTGTGGCCCTAAGTAACAGTTTCTGTGGCCCTCAGTAACAATTCTGTGTCTGTGTGCGAGTAACAATTCTGTGTCTGTGCGAGTAACAATTCTGTGGCCCTAAGTAACAGTTCTGTGGCCTCAGTAACAATTCTGTGTCCCCTGAGTAACAATTCTGTATCTGTGCGAGTAACAATTCTGTGGCCCTAAGTAACAGTTCTGTGTCCCTGTGTAACAATTCTGTGTCTGTGCGAGTAACAATTCTGTGGCCCTAAGTAACAGTTCTGTGGCCCTCAGTAACAATTCTGTGTCTGTGTGAGTAACAATTCTGTGTCTGTGCGAGTAACAATTCTGTGGCCCTAAGTAACAGTTCTGTGGCCCTAAGTAACAATTCTGTGTCTGTCCCTGAGTAACAATTCTGTGGCCCTAACTAAAGTTTCTGTGGCCCTAAGTAACAATTCTCTGGCACTCAGTAACAATTCTGTCTGTCCCTGAGTAACAATTCTGTGGCCCTAATAACATTTCTGTGGCCCTAAGTAACAATTCTCTGGCACTCAGTAACAATTCTGTCTGTCCCTGAGTAACAATTCTGTGGCCCTAATAACATTTTTGTGGCCCTAAGTAACAATTCTCTGGCACTCAGTAACAATTCTGTCTGTCCCTGAGTAACAATTCTGTGGCCCTAATAACGTTTCTGTGGCCCTAAGTAACAATTCTCTGGCACTCAGTAACAATTCTGTCTGTCCCTGAGTATGAATTCTGTGGCCCTAACTAGCGTTTCTTTGTCCCTAAGTAACGATTCTGTGGCCCTAATTAACAATTCTGTGTCCCTGAGTAATAGTTCTCTGTCCCTAAGTATCGTTTCTCTGTCCCCAAGTATCGTTTCTGTGGCCCTAACTCTGTCCCTGTCCCTAATACAGAGCGGTCTGCCTCTGTTCAATGACTGCAGGCAAATGAAGAATTCCAAAATGGCCGCTATTTATAGCTCGACCATTACACAGTGCTAGCTGGCTGGCTGCTGATTGGCTGATGCGATCACATGTCGTTGAGGAATGCATTATGGGTCAGCGCGCCTTGTCTGCGCGCCTTCCCAGACATCCCCGCTCCGTCGCCGCACATGTCAGCCGCCATTTTCGGAAAAATTTCGATTCGCGCGTCCGAATTAGGCTATTTTTCGGATTCGGGGCGCGAATCGAAATTTTTCCGATATTCGACTCGAATTCCACTTCGGCTACTTCGATTCGCTCATCTCTAGTTAAAATAATAGATTTACTAATAGGGGTAGACAGGGGCAGACTGACAACTCATGGGGCCCCCGGGAAATAGGGGATCATGGGGCCCCTGTGGCCTTGCCCAAAAACTCAAAAAGCCTATGAAAAAGGTACAAGGGGCATCTCATGGGGCCCCGTACCGAGTTTCTAAATGGTCAGTCCGCCCCTGGGGGTAGATTTACTAAAACTGGTGCACTCAGAATCTGTGCAGTGGTGCTTCTAACCTCAGCTTGTTCTATTAAGCTTTGGCAGTAAAACCTGGTAACTGACTGGTTTCTATACAGAGCTACACCATATCTTACATGCTTCAATTTTAGTAAATAACCCCCACCATGTGCTCCAAGCTAAGGTTGAATAGTGACAACTGATGCCCGGTTGATGTGGTAGCTAAGTCCCAGTGGGGCTGAGTTGCAAAAGGAATATAATGTTAACATGGCAAAGTGAAGTGGTGTCCAATACAATATTGTCCATATATGGCAAAGCAAAAATCCTGTATCTTTTTTTTTGTTTTTTTCATTTCTTTTGCACATGATTGAGTTTTGGAAGTGAGAATATTCAACATATCTATTTAAAGTGGTTGTAAAGCCTTAAGGTTTTAAAGCCAAAGACAAAGACAGCTACTTTT